AGTTCTGTGCTGCTCCAACAACAATGGTACCTTTCTGCTCTGCTGCTGTACACTTTAGAGGCATCCAATATTAGTATGACGTAGGGCACGGTTCTTACAGTAAAAGATTTCAACAAGAAGAGATTAAAGGAAACCAAAGACCTGCAACGACCTGCAGTTCAGCGCACTGCTGTGTGTAACATCTTTCTTGTTTTCTCTTCAAGGGTGGGGGAGAGCAGCTGCTGCCACGTACCTCGTTGGCTTTGTGATCCTGGTCATCTGTTTTGCCCTTGCAGTCATCGCGTTCTCAGTTGAGATACTCCGCTTCAACTTTGTGCGAGGAATTGGAGGCTTGCTCTTTGTTGTTGGTAAGGCTGGGCACAAGGACAAGATTCTTCTAGACGTAAAACAGGCATCAGCAGAAAAACATGTTATGTTATGAAATAAGCTGTCTTTGCCTGGTTTATGACTCATATTCATGGGGAACAAAGGAAGATTGATTTATGCTCTGAGAAGGTAATGGTTAAGGAAGCTTTAGTAGCCTTTGCAAGTTAGCACTTTCCCCAAAACAGTGTATGAGGGCAACCAGCACCTTTGACCCTGCATGCCACATGCTAAGAATTAGGAGCTGAGAGCCCTGGGTGCTTCTCACCTTCCTGAGGAGAGGAGGAGCAATGGGGCTATGGTACAAGTGGGAGGTAACTGGCTCTGCAGGCACTGTGGTGCCCGGCTGTAGGACAGGGCTGGTCACAACATGCAGGTATGTGCCTTAGCAACCTGTTAGCTTTAGCTGCCACAATCAGATAAGAGTGGGGATCTGTCTTAGCCAGAAGCCACGTAGCCCTGTAAGAACGCAGATTTGATTGTAAGACTGAAGCTAGTCCTTGTGTATCTTAAAAGGATACGCAGTTATCTCCAGGTGCCTTTTTTTTATTGGGAAATGTATTACGTTCGATGCCATTTACTCCTGCTTTTCTTTCTTTCTCTCTCCAGCTGTGTTCCAGATCATAGGCCTGGTCATCTACCCAGTGAAATTCACAGAAGAAATTCCACTGTCGGGAGATAATATGTTCAGCTGGGCCTATGGCTTTGGTTGGGCCAGCACTGTGGTTGTAATAGGTTGTGCATTCTTCTTCTGCTGCCTCCCCAACTGGGAGGATGAAGTCCTGGGAAACATCAAGCCTACCTATTACTACTCCTCTCCAGAGAGAGCACCATACTTAAATTGAAAGATTAAATCCAAGTACAATCAACTGACAAAACAACAGAGGAGAACCTCTGATGTCAACGTGGGGCCATTATAAGAGTGAAAAAAACATATTTCTCCAAAGTTTTTCTTACTAGCCCTGGCAATATATTAGTGAAAACATTGGCATCTTTAAGCAAGTAGCTTTTACCTAAACTGCTATTTACATGTTATCATGTCAATTCTGTTTGGGTGGTTTACTTGTTCCTTCCCCTTCCAGCTGATTGAGTCATCCTTATTTTATTCAAACGTTTTCTTATGAATAAAGATGTAGTGTTTCAAGTGTAGAAAGGAAGAGGTGAAATTTTAAGCAAACCATCAGAGAGACCTGCAAGTTACTTTGTTTTCACCTCTAACAAAATTGCCTTAAATGAAACTTTCCAAAGAATGCTTTTTCTTCCACCAAAGTCAGTCCCAAGGAAGGAACTTCCCTGAGACTATTGCAATCCCCTGGTGCCACAGAATCTCTTCTCATTCCTGTTACAGGACTATTGTTGAATAGTAGCTATTTGAATTAAAGGGAAAATAAAACTGAAATTTATTTTCCATCAATTGGTGCTGCTGGTTGGAGCTCTCCTCTAAGGCATGGAGCTGGTGTAACAGTGGCTAATGTAACACTTCCTGGTGTTTCTTTGACAACTCCAGTGCTTGGTAGAGCCACATATAATTTAATATACATTGTCACAGAGAGAATGAATAAAATTTCAAATGTTAAAGTACATACATTTTTATATGGTATTTGAGGGATACTGGTTTAGAAAATACCTTTGAGTAGAAATATATACTGTTCTTCATCTACCTTTTAAAAACTGCAGTGTTTTAATTATCATCCATGCTCTGGAGAGAAATCTTAGCATATGCTGTTGAAATCCTCCAAAAGTTTCTAAAGCACACTGTAGATACTCCAGAGTTAGGTAAACTTTGGGATGCTTTGTGAGTCATTAGGGATAACAGGTAAAAATAGAAAGGCAGTTCTGTGAGCCATTTACATATGCAAACTTCATAGAGACACCTGTCTTGGGGAGTAACTAGGCTGGCTCCTAACTTGTGTTTCTGGAGCCAGTGATTCCAAGCAAATATTCCAGCAAGGCAGAACTGTGTCTGTGTTGGTCATGGACCTGCAACAGCTTACAACAGTTTTAATTATGGGCTGTAATCTTTGTCAGAGCTTTCTTCAGCTGGCGAGGAAGAGGCTTCTCTTCCAGCTATGGGGGACATAGCTCTGGCAGAGACGAATTTCTGAGGGGGGTACATGTAGGGTGGAAAGCAAATGTTGTGTGTTACTCTAAAGAGCAACTGGGGACTTACTACTATTGTGAACTCAGTAGTTAGGAGAGGGTAAGTGTGTGAGTGTATGTGTTCATGCACACGTACGAAATAGAACTTCTAAAGCATTAACCACCATACTGTAAAGCTAAAGTAATTTAGAACTAAGATTTTTCAGTGCCCAATATTTCTTGTATTATATATTGTATAGCTTTCTGTTTTGTAGCATCTTTTTTTTAAATTTGATAATTCTATGTATTGCATGTGATCCTGTTTTGGAAAAGCCAAATTACTTCTGAAGGTCCCTTTCAGGCTTACATTTTATAACTTTACAGAGCATAAACATCTGCAGACTTCAGAACTGTGTCACAAGCTCAACCATGACAAATGCAATCAACTGTATTTATGATTCTTGCTAAAGAAGAGATTTCCTGTGACAAATCTGGGGGAGGGGTTATATTTGTTTGTTTTGTTTTGGGTTTTTCCTTTTCTGTACAATACTGGCTGGGAGGGAATACTGTGTAGACTTATTTGTATCATACGTAAGGACAGTACCTACTTTCTAGTGAATTCAAAACACAGCAGAGAATCCCAAGTCTGGAAAATACTTGCACAGCTAAAGCTGAGAAGGAGAATAGACATAAGAAAATGGACACACTCCCTAATGAGAGGGAGGACGGTATGGTAACAGGGTTTAGCATGACCTAAGTCTTTTGTATGTGTGTTGGTTTTGTTTTTTTTTTTTTTCCCAATAAGAATTGTCAAAACCTGTCAAAAAAGCACGAATGTAAAATAAACTTGGCTCTGAATATACTGGGAGGGGTAGAAGCACAACAAGTATGTTACACAACTCAGATGTTTGGGAGAAAGCTATTGCAGATAGTCATTAATTACTCTCAAGTGATACTAATGTATGTGACACTCCTTTCAGATGTGGTGGTTTCATTAAAACTGTTTTAACTGATGGTTGTAGAAACATGGTGGTGTTTGTGGTTCTAACAGATTCAGTTCATACACTCAAGCAAATAGCCATTCTTTCCTTTTCTTAGTGTATATCAGTATCCTTGCAGTGTCAGGCTAACAAATTGAAGTTAAAAGACCTCATGTCCAGGAGGCAACAACTTCATTTTCCTGTCAAATAAGCTTGAGTATACACTACAAAACAGGTATGTGCACTTTCATCAGAAGTGCCAGGCTCAGAAAGCTCTTTGCTAAGCCAAAACCTCTTAAATGCATCACAGCTTCAGGGGGAGCTCTAAACATTTAAGTACATAAGAGTCTGCGGGAGATCTTATGTGTGGGAAAGCTGTTCTCTTTTTTTTTTTTTTTTTTTAATCAAAACTAGTCCAAGTCCCTTTCCTATACTGATCAAGAACTTTAAATATTGAGAAAAAGATGGAGTACTTGCTTGCTATTTTCAGTGGAAGACTCCACTTCCCCTGTGATTAGAAACCTTTGCCTTTCTAGCCTCAGATTATCCATGGCCCACCTATAGCCCGGTGCTAGTGTCGTTATATCTCTTGAACAACTTTCTCCCTCTGTATTTTTACAGAAAGCAAACCTGCTGTCAGCCACTGCTGCCTTAAACAAGCCTTTGGCTTCTGATTTCTGGAAAGACAGGTTCACCATTACCTTAGTTTTTTTAGCTGTCCTCTTCCTTAAATGTCTTCATTTTAAAACACACTGCCAACCTGGATTCTGGTGGCTTGCATGGGTTTCTTCTGGTGTTTTTCTCCCTCCTTTAATTACTCTTAATTTCAAATACATGATTACGGAAAATATTTTTGTCCCTTTATGATTTTCTTAAATGCTTTGAAAGTAATTGGAGAGTTTATATAATGCCCCGTCCCCTTTTTTTTTACTAGCCTGTATTCAGCTGCAGCCTAAATTTGTGCTCATTAAAATCCACTGAACAAATTCAGCAAATTTCAGGCCACGGGGTAGCTCCTTCTACCCTAACCCTGAAAAAGAGAGAGCAGTTCTGGAGAATCTGAGCATACTCAGCGCTTATCTCAGGGAGTTGTGAGCAATCAAAAACATGTATGACTGGGTGCTAGGGAAGGTTAATTGACCTGAATGGGATGATTAATATTTAAATCTCATGGATATGAGAAACAGCTGCCACACCTCACTGGGATTTTTTTTTAGTTTTAGTTGATGTAACTAGTGAGTAATTTTCTAGGGAACTCCTTCACAATGTAGAACTCTAAAGAAGTATTCACCTGACCTTTACATTCTGCATCTAAGGAATTTTGGACCTAGAATACATATGTAAATCAAGACAATGTAGTAAGAGATCATTCAAGGTAATTATTTTTTTTGGGGGGAGGAAGGGTTGTTATGGTGATAAGTACTATAGAAACAAACCCACCCATATGCTAACTGGAAAGGTTACACACATGCACACACACACACAAAACAGTTCAGCTGAGATCACCGAGTACTTCTGAATTAACAATGAAGGAAGCATGTATATCAATGGAAACCAAAATGCTTTAGGAGATGACCAACAGCTGAGGTACTGGCCTCACAATGCAGAGCACTGGAGTTTACTGGCAATACAGAACAGTGTCCTGAAAACCCAAGATTTTCTATGCCAGTAGGAGAAACTGCACCAATTTTAAAATGAACCTGGGAGATTATATTCACAAGCAGAATAAAGTATAATCAAATCTGGAGGATATGTCTGTCAAAAGTAGGGATGCTGAGTTTCTGAATGTGATTCCTCTAACAGGTGTCTGTACAGAAGTAGTGAAATCCATGTGCAACGAGTTCACAGCACCTGGGATATGTCAGCGGTACTGTGTGGGTGCAGCAGTTTGCATGTGTAGATCCTATTGACCAAAAATGTGCAAGTTCTGCTGTACATGTACAGTGTATTTATAAGATAGATCTGATACATCCGTGGCATGTGTCTGTGCTGGTACAGTAAGCAGCCTTTTGCCTGGGATTTCTTGGTGTCTGAAGGTGTGAGTCAAGCTGCTCCAGCTTTGGAGCTAGACATCCAGAAATTCCAGGCAAAAAGCCAATGTCCTCAAATTTTTCTTCTATAAAATTATATTTAAATTATTTGGGAGTTGTCAGAATAATAGAAAGGGGGTTTAATTACAATTCTTGAATATCTAAATTTAATAAGGCTGAATTTATAATAAAGATGGTAGCAGAAAACATGCAGGCATATCTAGAGCTTTATAATATAAATACTATAACTATAAAGAATATAAACAATAATGTAAGATAAACAATATGCATTGTATAATATAATTAATAAACATACACATTTCCATTCATTATATTCTTTATGGGTTCATCTTTGCAGGATTGGATAATATTTACTAGAAGGATTAGTAAGACTGCTGCTTTTTATTTATTTATGGGAAAATGGGCAACACATACTATTTTCCACAGACATCTTTGTGAATACAGAATATTTTATAAATATTAAAAATGGCTAAGTGTCAAGGGAACAACACATCAGAAACAGTGTTCCCTGAGTTTGAGAGTTCAAAACGCACTTCCAGTATCTTTCTAACTAATGTGTTAGGAATTCCAGCTTGGATTAGGTTACAGAGCACTGGAACATGCTCCCCAGGAAGGTTGTGGAGTCTCCTTCCTTGGAGACTTTTAAGACCCGTCTGGATGCGTTCCTGTGTGACCTGCTCTAGACTAGATGGTCCTGCTCTGGCAGGGGGGTTGGACTCGATGATCTCTGGAGGTCCCTTCCAACCCCTCACATTCTGTGAGTCTGTGATTAGCCTGTGAACACTTTAGGCATCTAAAGGTATTTTACTGCATGTGCTTTCTATGGATGAAGTATTAGTAATATTGAGAACACTATTGCCTTGGTGCCCAGGTGATGTAAGGTACACAGAGTGACCACAAGGTACAATTTAGCCTGAGTTTGGCTGACTGAGTTGTACCTCTGTGTAGGCTGTAATTATAACAATAACTGCAGTGCAATATTCCGATTGCAAGGCAAGGTGCAGCCCTCTTCAAAGGGAAATGGCAGATTGTCATTATCAGGAAAAAGCACCTATGGTTGTAAACGGATTAATAAAGATAATAATAAACATAACAATTATGATAGTTCATTCAGAAAATGCTTCTCAGATGTTCAATGTGACTTGTTAAATGTAAGATAGTACACAAGAGTATGGATCATAAAATAATCCTAGCAAAGCTTTTAAAAACCAAACCCTGGGGACTTTTGTTTGTAAGCCATGTGAATATCAAAGAATGAAAATGCACTTGCTGCAAAAGTCATGAAAATGCAGCACGCCTAGTAAGCCCATGTCAACCCAGTCATTTATATAGCTCAGCTGATCAGGTCAGTAGATTAAAGGTGGATGAAAATGTGCTGCCAATCATTTGTAAGCTCTGTCTTCAACTGAGAGATCCATTTGTGTCTTGACTGAAAAGGGCATATTTTTATTTTTTTCTCTATGCTATAGAATTGTTTGTTTTAACAATATCCTACGGCTTATTTGGTTACTTCAAGCATCGATGAAGATTCATTGGGAATATTTTCAGATGCAGAAAGTGCACTAGAATCTAACAGTTTTGGCATTAATGATATATCTTCATTTTCAACATATGATGCTGATGTTAACCAGGAGGGACTGGAAAAGGAGAGCAAGCATTTGCTTTCATGGAGACACTCAGTTTGCGTACTGCAAAAGACAAAACACACTGAGGGTAAGTCATCACTTCAAATCACAGAGTCCTCAACAAAAGTTTCCAATCATTTCCCCCTGTTTGCTATAGGAGTATCAGAATTACACAATATACTTCATCTTTGGACCTTTGTATGGATATCTCTCTCTGCTGTTTCAGATACCACAAATTACCATTGTATTGAATGAGAAGGTTTAGTTTTAAGTTACTTCAGGGTGACGAATATGGGCAAAGATAGTCACCAGTGATGACTGAACACTACTCATCTTTCTTTCACAGCATGATAAATACGTTCTGTGGTATTATCTCACGAATGCTAATATTTGTAATAATATGCGTTCATCCAAAGGTGAGTTATGGCAAAAACTGATGACAAACCCTTCAGTCATAAATGCCTACCTGAAACATGGCTGAGCATTCAAAAAATAAGGGAAGAAGATTTTATTCTTCAACCAATACTGTCCCTCAAATACCTGACAGTGCTTGACTTCATCATGGATTTCAGGTACAAAATTGCTTGTTTTTGCTATGTTCTCTGAGTGGGAAAAAGAAAAAAGCTAAGATTTTAGAAAACTGTAACTGTTCTTGAAGGATTGGAACTTGGCAAAAGACTAGATGTAGACAGCTGGGCGAGGGCTACAGCGTATTGCCACCTGCATGAGTACTTTTGAAGTAATCTTTTAAAAAGCATTTAATATCCAAATCCATGTTCTTTTGGATGTCTTTTGGAGTTCATTGAGCCCGTTTTTACCTCAGCAGTGGTGACAAAAGGAACAGGTATAAACAGACCTGGGAAGCTTACAGGTAACAGCATATTGCACTCAGGGTGAGCTTCAAATTACATTAGTTTTCATGTAATTTTTTTTTTTAAATCATGCATAAAAATTGATATAGTACAGTGCTATAGAACTGGTACATGGCACTTTAAACATTATATTTAGTATAATGATGACTGAATTTGTGGCTAGTACAGATGTGGACTACAAAGGAAGATAAATAACATTTTAAGGAAATGGTTGTTCCCCAAAGTATCATTTACAAAAAATTACTTGATATTGTCCAACCTGATATAGTAGCTGATGGTGTCTTCATAGTTGGCTTTTGCTTTAAGTTGACACTCAAGTTCAAAGGCCAAATCTGTAAAAATGCCTGCTGCTCTCACAGAGACTTGCTGAATGCCCCGACTGACCTCTCACAACCACAGGGTTATCGAGTTGTGTTGGTACTGCTGGGGAGCTGCTGGCAGGATGCTTCGGTTAGCCAGAATTGCACCTGGCTAGAGAATGAGAAGCAAAGCAACCTCCACTGCTAATCCACCACCAGGCCAGAAAGCTGTCTCTGATTAGAGCTAAGGCACAGTGTCACATTAACACCTTCAAATTGCTTCCATGACAGAGCTACTACCTCTACAACATGCTGCAGCTCATTGCTGTGGATATTCCAGTTTAAGTCTGCACGAGCTCAACGGCCTCTCAGACAGTGCCCTGTACAGTGTATCAATTCCACATAAATTATTATTTTGTTTTATTTCGGCCTTTTATGAACATTAATTTGGCAAAATGCTGTGGAGTTTGCAGTTCAGTACAGATGTTACACTTCACCACGGAAGCTGCAAGATAGAAGCAAATCTCTGTGAATAGTGAGGCTGGCACTTGGATGCAGCCCCGCTTGACAGAATCCACTGTGGAGCAAAGGACACTTTGCATCTCCTGTCCTTAACCACGTTTCACAGAAAGCAGCTTTGATCTGCAAGGGGTGCAGCAGATGTAAACGTGTCTGGGCCCTACCAAAACATGAGGTTGTAGCACATTTTAGTTCAAGGTGAGAGTGCTGAGAACATGGCTGTATCACTTCTGAGCTCTGCCCAGCACTCGCTGGTAGCCTCCTGGGGCGTGGCGAGGTGATGGCTCATCTCTGCATTGTTCTCACAGCACTTTGCAGACAGGTTCTGACAGGCCCCAGGCAGCCACATACAGCCTGAGCCATGCACAGCCAGGGAGTGTTCGTAAGGCACGCTAGAAAGCTCAGTTTCTGTTCTCCTGCTAAGGCTGTATCCAGAACATACCATATTTTTAATGATTAAAAACTTGTTGTGTATTTTCCCCTGAAACTATGTCCCAAAAGGGAGAGGGAGGGCAGTCACATGTTCCTTATTGTCTTTGCTTTATAGCAGTTAGTGTTTTTTTTTTTTAATTGTAAAAAATACAGTATAATTTTATTTTTAAATGGAGTCTAAGAGAGGCAGCTATCAGCCTCCAGGTGGCAAATTTCAGAAACAACCACCCTCTAATAGAAATAGTTCCCTGGTCTGTCTTGTGTTTTCACCTGCCATAATGCAAATCCCTTAGGAGACAGAAAAGTGTAAACACAGCTGTGAGATGCTCCTGCTGGTGGGGAGTGGCAGGAAGGAAAGAGTTAAACGCCAAGGGTAAACAGCACCCGATTTGTTACTAAGTCAGCAAGGCAGAGAGGATCCCATAGATAACCCAGCCCTGCAGCTTCTTCCCAGCTCAACTGGTTATTGCTCAGAACCAGCTCTTACTCATCCGAATCTAGGTGGAGCTCCCTCCTTCCCTCCCGCCCTCCTTCCTTGCCGTGTCTCTCTTCATTAGAAAGCTTTTCTCAAACATCTACACGCGGGCTGGTAGGTACTGGCACTCACTTCCTGGGAGCTTTGCAGAAGCACCCATTGCTTCTCGTCACTGAGCCCGTGGTAGAGACGGCCACCCTCGTCCCACCAGCCTCCCCCTGCCCTGGAAGATGGTGAAGTACGGCCTCGACTACACACGGTGCAGATGGATCCTACCCCTGCTCCTGGGCATAGGCGTCATCTTTGGTATCATTGCACTGGCAGGCAGGGGCTGGCTGGAGTCGCAGACCTTGCCCTACGTGCAGCAAGCGTCGTTATGGCAGAGCTGCAGGAGGCCAGCACAGGGCGGGGATTGGACCTGCCAGTCCCTCATGGGTTACGGTAAGCGCCTGCAAGGATGGTGGGGAGCAGTCTTTGAAGCAGCGGGTCACATCTCTGCACTTCTCTTCCCTCAGCTCTTCTAACTGTATCGCCTAATACCTGGCATTTATATAAGAAGTTATGGGCAATAGGGGCCGTGGCTGAAATATATCAAAGCTTTTGACTAGCAGAATGAAGAGGAAAAATGCCCTCACTCCTGTGCAGAAAGAAACCAGGTTGCTTTAGAGGGTGGGTTGCTTAGTACACAAAAACACATATGGTAATGTTCCAGTGCAGAAAATATTGCAGCATTTAAGGTTTTGTTATTCTCTTAGAAGCAGCTCATAACCTCTTCCAACTAATGACTGCTTTCCAGAACTTAATGGCTACTGCTGATCAAATGTCCAAAAGCCATGTTGCGTAGGTAAACCTGACATTAGTGTGATAAGCCAGTCCTGAGTGCCAGCAAGAAACGGGGAGGTGGAAACGTAAGATGGTAGGAAGATACTGCCAAGGAGTGTCACGCTGCAGAATGCTGTCCTGAAACTGCTTTGGTAGGTGGGTCGTGTGAAAAAGTCTCCTTGTGATTATGAAAGACAGCTTTAAATGATGAAAGGATCTCTTGTTTATACTGAGTTTTGGTTAAGCATGTTATTAAACATAGAGTTGAAACCAGGTGCAGCCTTCAGCTTGAAAAGATAGAAAACACTGAGTTTAGGAGAACAGGCCAAGAGAAGGATGGCTGTGTATGTGTCATGGTTCACTTTTTTTTCTTATATATATATATATCTGCTTTTGGCCACAGTCTAAAACAAGTTATTGTGTGTGATGGGCTACTAACCTCAGCCAGGAGCAAAGTTCAAGGGTTCTTGCAATTTATGCTAATTCAAATTAAATGGAAGAACATTTTCTCTAAGGATCACAATCTCAGCTGCTCTTGTTGAAGATCACTGTAAAAAATCTTGCAGAAGCAATCTCACAGATAATTTATTACAGCTTTTCAAGATTTTTCCTGAAAGTTTATCATATATGGCCAAATTTTCCCTTCTATGCACAAAATTCAGATGTAATAAGTTAATTGTAGCAGCCTATATGTGAGTATCATGCCCAGCTCTGCTCTTAGAGCTCCTCCATCAACTGTGTGGCTGGGCATAGATCAAGCCAGAAAAATGGTCTCCGGTGCACAGCACTGGAGAGCAGGAGAGAAACAGTGATGCTTCACAAAGGGGTTCTTAGTCCTGAGTTTCCATGAAAAGTGAGCTCCCCTCCTGATCTCCAGGTTAGGCCCTATCTGTGTCCTGAGTGCCAGCTTTAATGGGGCAGAACATACTAAGACGTTTCACCTTGCTTCTCTTGATAATACAAGAGAAGTTTCACTTTGCTTCCAAGTCTTACACAGTTGTTTGGTGTTTCACTCACCTCCTTAACCTGCCACACTCTTACATGCTTAAATTCTGCAACTGTATGCACAGTTTCCCACTGGACAGCATCTACAGACCAGGAAGGCCATGCTCTATACGGACTATACTGCAATGTCTGCTGTCACCATGAATCACATCCACAATAAGTCTAGTACTTCTAACACAGAAATGTTTGACTTCATACACACATGCAGAATATTCTCCAGCATGTACACTGGAGAATCAGCTGATGCTTCTGGAAAGTATTAGAAATGCTGTTCATGTGCTGCATGACTGCATTATGTTCTGTATGGGCATGCATCTATCATTTGACCTCTTCAAGCTTACCAAATACACAGAAAACCTAAGCAAATCCTCAAAATCTTTCTGGACAAGATTTCCAGGTGGAAAGGGAAGATGCATCTGGGTCAAGAGAGTCATTTAGCCAATGGGAGAATATGTAAAACTTATGTGTAAAAAACAACAACAAAAAAAGAGTGCTTAAGACAAGTGACGGTGGATTATGCTGCCAGTCAACGTAGATCTTGGCCATTGCAGGAGTGAGTTAACCCTGGCCCATAACAGGGCTGTAGACTGGACCATTAAGGATGCAAACTCATGTCACTGTCCTGATCCTTTCCAGCCCCTTCCCTCAGACACATTCCCTCCAGAGGTGTAATGTTTTCAGATCCAGTCTTGTCCTCCATTTTTCCTATAATTCTGTCCTTGCTCAGTTGCTGTGGGGTTGGGATTTTTCTTCTGTCTCCTGCCTTTCCTCACACAAGGTGCGGGTGCCTACTGCTGGTCTTGGATTCCGCCCATATGACAAAGCCATGAGACAGAATCTCACTGTGAGCATCCAGCTCTTGTACTGAGCCTGATTCTACCTGCCTTGATGCTAAAACACAAGGTTTTAATAATTCTAGGATTACATTTATCTACAGTGCTCCAGAAAGGTCATAGAAAACAAGCATTCAGCATCATGTTCTGTGGGATGTTAAGCTTTGTCTTGTGCCAAGCTAAACACGGTGCTGGATAAACAAGGTGTAATTACATGCTTTCCCAAGCACAGAGACAAAAGATGTGATGCAAACAGAAAGGACAAAAGTGTTTTACATTTTTTTTTCCAAGTTGAGCTCTCTCCTCTCTCTATTCCACAGTTACCATCTCATTTCCTCTGGGCTTTACTCTCAGCTTCCCTGCCTGATCTGCCACAGGCTGGGTAGGTTCTGAAATTCATTCGTCCTACAGGAATGGTTTCATTGACATATGTGATATGCATGTGTATCCCAGTGTCATCAGATAGTCTCAATATTACTTGGACAATGTAGCTATCTTAATCCACCACAGACATCTTCATCCTATCATAGATGTAATTGTAACATTCCTGCAAGTTGTTCAATGTAATGTGCAAATTCAAATCAAATTCTCTGCATGCAAAAGGTAATTCCCCTTGAATCTCTGATGTTTGGCCTAATGTATGTGCATACACAGACCGAAGACAAAAACCCAATAGCACTGAGGCTGGTCAGATTGGAAGGGAAGAAGCTTGAAGCTTGATTGGTTGCACTAGTGGAGTCTGGACTCTCTGAAGAGTTGCTTAAACTAGCAGGATTCAAACCTCACAGGGAAGACAAGAGGTTTTTTGGGGGTTTTTTTTGGGTTTTTTTTTTCAGAAGGCAAATAAAGTAACTCCACTGGTGCAGTTATCTTCTGTGAAAGCATCTGCACAACTCTGGTCTTTTGCAAAGTTTGTGAACTTTGTGGAAAGTGAGAGTACAAAAAGTTTATACACTGTTACCTTCCCCAAGAGTTCAGTTCTTCTGTGTTAACCATATGATGCTTCTAGACTTTACCAGAAATCTTTTCGCTTTTCAAGCATATTTAGGTCAAATAAATAGAACATTCTAGCGAAATAATATCTAGTGCATTGGGACACTTACTCAAAATACATGGAGTTTAGGATGAGGGGTTGAGAGATGCAGACTGCATCTTTGCAGTGTTCTGACACTTGGAACAAATAAAGGTCTGAAGCTTATAACATGCTTGAACCTTTACAAAGAATGAGACAGAGACTTCAGGGATAGATAATGAGCACAATATGTAATGTATCTGTCTGGGCCATGGCTGAGCTTGCAAAGAAAATGTGGAGATTAAATTCTTTCATGAAGACAGCAGCGCACTCCTTTGTTTTTCCTCATTTTTGGCTTTATGACCTCTCTTGAACAAGGTGTGTCTGTCTCACAGAGCTGAGACACTTTTTCAACATATAATTTATTCCACTGCAGTCTTTGAAGATATTTTGAAGATGTGGGTTTGGTTGGGAGAAAATAAGTTTTATTAAAAAATAAATTTTATTTTATTAGTCCTGATGAGATGCACAATAAGATGAAAAACTCGTGGCTGCATTTATCTCATGTTATGTTCCAGCTGGCATTGCAGCTCTTCAATGTACAGATGCTGCCAACAGAATAACTGTAAGCTTAAGGCTCTAAATTTAGGTTGAAGAGGTTGGCTTATTTGCATTACGCAAATAGAGATCTTGGGAAAAAAAATAGGAAAAATATTTCCACAGGATAACTGGAATCCAGTTCTTCAGTTATTTTCACATCACAGTATTCAGTTACAATCTTTTCTTAAGATGTGTTGAGGGTTTAGTGGCTGTGGAGATCAGCAAAGGGATGAATGATTTTGTCATCTGGAAAGGACACCTTCCTGCATCTTGTCTTCCATGCAAATAGTGACTAATTATGTTCTACCTCATTCTGGATTTATGTTGGTCCATGAATACTAATACAATACTACAAGATAGGGTGGCTACTATAGTATGATTATAATGGACAAAAAAATTACATCAAATATGGCAGCAGATGAGTATGTCTACAAGATAAGTGAAGAAGGGAATGCTGCAAAAGGCAATATCCTCCTGAGGAAAGAAATATTCTGCTTTAGTCTCATATGAACCCCCTTGATGAGTAGATATTCTTTGCTGTTTTCCCTATATTAGGCTCTTGGGTCTGGAGAATCTTTTGCTATGGTGAAGCACCATTTATTATTCTGAAGGAATAGCAAAATGGAAAACACTTGCTAAAAATCTTCAGCTAATGATACAACAGTAAGGTACATAGCGTAGTCAAGAGCAGTCTCCAAGCATTAAAGGGCCTATCTTGATATTGCATCTACCACTGGCCTAGCACTGCTGGCCCCACAGCTCTCCCTCTGAAAAGCTAAGGTCTCCAGCAGACCAGTGACTCATCACACCTGGGGCACAGGAAGAACCAGACACCAAGTTTCCTCTTTGCCATACTGCCTATGTAAAACTGTTTTACCTTCCCCCTTCATTCCCATCAGATCTGACAGCCAGCACCTAATCCCAGGCATGGGGAAGCCCTCACTTGCCTCAAGCTGAAGTAAGCACCCTGAGCAGAGTGACACAAGGATACTTGCACAGGGATGGGCTGGGAAACAGCCCCTCTCAGCAGGACCTGCAAAGAGAAGCAGGCTGCCCTGACAGCTTTTTGGCATCCGAGGGTACCTGCATGTAGCAATAGAAATGGAGCAAATTAGTAACTGTGCCTTTGAAGCAGGGACCAACTCATGTCATGAGGCCTTTACTGTAGT